TGGTTTGAACTTGTTCTGTTCAGAGATCTCCACCGTTAAGTCTAACTTTGGTTTAGGTGCAGCTTCAGTTAAAATCTCCGGCTTCACTTTCGATTCTTTCGCCACCGGTGATAACGGTTCTGGCAATGTCTCTTCCTTCAGAGCCTCTTCTTGCGCAGGTTCTTGTTCTTCTCTGAGTGCTTTAATCGAGGGTGGTTCTTTTACCGTTCCGGACGCTGATCCTAGAACTCCCCTTGGCACAGTGAGTTCTTCAGAACTTTGTGCCTCTGATGACTTAGCACCCATGCGCGACTCACACGTTGCGTAACCCTCTTCGTCCGTTGCTGCGTCTGGGGACAGCGATCGGTCTGATAATACGGACTCGAGACGCTTAACTAACTCTTGCCTTGGCACTTCTCCGTCTGGCTTTCCCAGCGCCTGTTCGGGAGCTTTTTTAGACGAAATTTCTGTGGGACTTCCAAATTGAGTTCTTACATTTTCGCTCCCACTATCACTAGCAGGAGCTTCGGTTGGTACTAAGGTCTTCGGAGGTTCTTCGATGTAATCTAAGGAGGTTGAAAGGGTTCCATCTGGGCCAGGAGAATCCCGAGCTTCGGCTTCTTTACTCGCCTTTCGCAACTGCGCTTCTAAAGAGGCAGCTAAAATGGCAGCCTCAGCCAATAGCTCAGCCCTTGTCAGGACATCGCACGGTACACACGAACCTGCTGTCGAAGGGAAGAGAGGCTCTTCGCCGCCAATCGTACGCTCCGACTGCAGTTCTAGCGTCGAGGTTGGCATTCCTTTCTCGTCGGTGCCTTCCTTGGACCCCGACGTCAATGTTCCAGGCTCCGAGTGCCTCCTCTTGTTAAGGTCGTCGCCAGGCTGTCCCTTTGCGTGCTCCGAGTGACGTCTCTTGGCGGCCTGACTTACAGCATTAGGTGGCTCCCGCGGCTCGTATCGCATACTGTCCTCGCCCTCCCAGTGACCAAAGTCTACAGATTTCCTCTTCAACAAGTCCATGGACGTCGCCGGCGTAGGCGGTGGTACGCGGACATCGATGCTCGTCCTCTTGGGGGTGTGTGTAGTTGATGGCGCTCCTTTTCGAACCAGGCTGGTATGGGAGTCATCCGAACATACGCCCCCACCTTCCTCGGCTACGGCGTCGAACGAGAAGGTAACTCGACCCTTACCGAAGAGTTCGATCCTTGTCTCCATTACAAGGCTTGGCTTTTGGCGTGCTGTGACAACGGTACCAACTGGTTGTAATGTTCCAGAGGGGGGCATGGCAGAACCTCGACGAAGCTGGAGTTCTTTAACGAGCTTTATGTAGCGCTCGAGTTCCTCCTTGGTGACTTTTTCACTGCCTTCCGCTTCTTGGTTTGGAGGTAAGGCACTGGAGCTTCCGTCATGACCTCCTGGCTGCCCCTGATATGGCTGGGGTTCGTCGTCGTTGAGCTGTCCGGTGGACATTGTCAACGGTGTCTGTCCTCGCTGACTCTGCTGTATGGGAAGAGGGTCAACGTGATCTGGTATCGATTTCTCTGGCTTAGACTGTAGCTGAGTGAACTCTGGAAGGGATTTCGAGGTCTCCAATAAGCTGCCCAAGCCTTTTGGAGTGTGTGTTGTGTCTGGAATGTTTCTGGATGTTTGAGCTGACTTCAACTGCATGGGCCCTGTATCGTTTTTTTGGTTGATATCCGTCTGATTTTTGACGAACTTGGAGAGACTCTCTTCTTCTTTAGGCACCAAAACTTGTGATTGCTTTGAAGGTAACTCAGGTTGTTGACCTTTCGAAGAAGGCGAGGTTGTTCCTCGGAGAGGTTCCACTTCTTTCATCGAGTCGGAAATATGAGTGAATGATGCCGGTTTCTCAGCTTGTTCGGCAAGCTTCTTTGCTTCCGGCGTTCTTGTCATTGTAGTGTCGCTTTTAGAATTGGACACATTCTTTAAAGGGCTTTCCAGATTTACCGCATCAAGCTCTCGTGAGTCCCTTTGTGGCTCTGGTGGCAGCTTATTTACCGTTTGTGGCGACACATCACGTTGGGTAGTCTCTTCGATTTGAATAAGGCCGAGAGGTCCTGGGGATAGTTTGTATTGCAATGATGATTTGCTGACCAAGTTTGTATTGAAATCGATTGCTTGTCTTTCGAGCGCGTGCGATGGACCTTCGGAAGGCTTTTCATGTGGTTGTACCGATCGCGGATGGCTCGAGACGCTTCCAACAGCCGAGTGAACGATCACGGAGTCTTCTCCGCCTGAGCTTGCTCTGTTACTCCGCCTTAGCTGACGGTCTTTTGCCTTAAGAAGTGTCTTGATAGACCTGATGGAGCTTCCTAAGTTCTCCTCTTCGTCTGATTCTGTAACACCACCAGCAGAGGTCTCAGTAAAGTCGAACGATCGCAACTGTAACGCATCCCCTTTCTTCGCTGGTAATGTCATTGGCTTTTCTTCCAGAACCGGCTGCTCACCAAGCACTTTTTGCAGGGATGTGTCTGGTAGGCTTTTAGTGTCCGACTGCTTTTCTGGAGCCGGTGGCGGCACTGGTGGGGGCGCTTTCCATGTTTCGAGTTCTAGGGACTCTGCTTTGTACGCCTGCTCATCGAACGGTTTTGTCTCCTCCGTTCCGTTGTCCCTCTTCTTCCTGGTTTTGTTCTCAGACGGTTTCGTACTCCAGGGAATGGCCTCCTTCTTGTTAGTTTGCAGCTTCCCATAGTACTCGTCCTCGGACCATCGTTTTTGTGGGAAATTCGGCGAAGGCTTCGAAGCATCCTTTTCGGTGGTCACTTTGGGCTCTTTGGTAAACGTCTGTTCTTCAAATAGTGGCGCCAACGGTTTGTGCTCCGGACTGCGCGTAGAATCAGAAAAACGACGAGAATCGCGTGCGCTCTGGTTTTTTTTAGCTTCCTCCGACGCAAGGAGTCCGATCAGCTTCCATTTTTCATCGGTTCTTGGCGTTGGCGTTGAACTTTCCCGCTTACATTCTTCTTTCAGGTCTTTATTATCAGGAAATTCTGTGATGGCGTCTGTTTCTAATTGGGTCTTAGTAGGTGGTACGGGCGCAAAGCGGAAGGCCGGAATGTTTTCGTAGGTCGGCTCAGGGGGTGGTATCGGTATTGTGGACGTCCTAAGATTAGATGTTGTAATGATCCCTGGCCCTGGCACGGCGGCACGTGCTGTCTCATTTTCAACTGCGTCTTTTGGGGAGAATTCAGTATTAAAGGTTTCAGGAAAATCTTGTTTTGATACAAAACTAGGTGTACTTTTAGACGAAGGTGCCGATTCGACATCAGGAACCGTTTCAAGTGCAGGGTAAATTTGAATATCGGGAGAAGCTTCCGATTCTTTCTTCTTGCGAAGAAACATCTCGAGTGCCTTCGTGTCAGGCTTGGGAGCGGTCGTTGTGAACTCTGCACCTTTTCCCGGTCGTTGAACGCCTTGCTGTTTTTCCATTTGTTGGGTAGACAGGTCTCTTTTTGTCAGCTCTGTGGCAAAATTTTTGGACGGTAGACTTAGGATTGGCGGTTGCTGCTGAGCATTCATTTGTTGGATGAGGGCTCTAACATTCACAGCACCTACGGGTATTACTGAGTGCTGTGTCTTCTCATTTTTCACAGATTCCGATTTTTTCTCAGGTTGCCAAGCTCCATCAATCTGTCGGTGTTCTAGTGAACTCGATAAAGTTTCGAGTTTTTTTGCGACCGTGCCTACTAGGTTATTTGTGTCCTCATTGTCGGCATCCTTTTCACTGCGGTATAACGACTCGAGTGTCTGTCGCCGAGAAGAAAGAGGCACAAAACCGCTGATGTCTTCAATTACTTGTCCTTTTGCACCGGGTAGAGACTCGTTAGAGGGAGTTTCGGACACGGAACTATCCCGCCTGCTCTTTGCACCGTCCGGTTCAGCGTCATCAGTTACCACAGGGAGGACCTTACATGGAATGGATGTGCCATCCAAAACTGTCTCGCACGGCTCAAGAGATACCGATCGGCGCGAAGGCCTATTCGTAAGAAATGAAGACTCAGCCTCAAGATTCCTGTCGTCAACAGACGGGCGTTTCACAAAAACCAGGCCGTCCGATAAAACCACTAATGATCCTTCCGAGGTGATGAAACTTATGTCATGTGGTTTCGTTTTCTCACTTGTCGTTAACTGGCCGTCAGTTTGACGATCAAACAAACCGGACTGCTTTTCTTTGCCTTGAGTAACGGGTGTCTCCAAGTTTGTTTCAGGAAGAATACCCATTGTCTTTGGTTTTAGGCTCTGCGTTGGCGAGCCTTGAGCTTGAGGTGGCAGCTCTTGAGTTTCGATTTGTTTCGATGAATCATCGACGCCCGCGTTGGCTGGCAGCAAGATATCGCACACCCTAGGCTGCCTAGCCGCCAGTCTGACAGGTTGAAATGCATCCGCAGCGGGAAACGTACTTTCTCCCTCTGGAGGTTGCTTAGATTTAGCTTTTAGAGTTGATACTAAGGTTGCATGTTCCCTCGTTTTCTCTGATGGTGTCTCAGTTTGATTTGTAATTTGTGTAAGTAGTTTTGTGCCTGCGCCCAATGACTGCTCAGTCCGGCTTGAAATGGAATGCGAAACGTAGCCCTGATTCCTTTCCAGAACAGCCTGCAAATCCGGCGACGGTATGGTCGGTCGGCCAAACTGTCGGATGTACATTCCTACCTCCGTACTGTCAGGGACATGCTCGGACTGTTCTCCAGAGAACGGGTCAACTGTTCTCAATCCGGGAAAGCCGAACGGTGTTCCGTCCTTTATCGGAAGACTGGTTTGGTCAGAAGACGGGGGCGACATTTCAGACCGTCTTTTCCACCAAGAGACTGAAGCTTCTTCTTCCAGTGTGCCTGGAGGAATCGTTTCTAACTGTTTGTGCACTGTGGTACTCATATTCTGAACCATGATTGGTTGTTGGGAGCTCTCTTTCACAAACCCTGGAAACACGCTTGGTACTTGGTATCCGGATTTTTCCAACCCCTCAAATGATTGGTTTCCTCTTGTTTGAGGTGTTACCTGCTCTACCCGAGGTAATTCTTTTCCTGACTTCTCTTGTTTCTGGTCAATGTTAGATGCACTGGAAATTGAAACTATTTCTACATCTGGTATTCTTAATGGGGTACGACTTTCTGGAGTTGTAGGGAAAGACCTTATATCCTCTCCCGCCGCTGTGAGCGAAATTTGTGTGTCTGTCGGTAAAGCATTACAAGGAACGGTCACATCCGGTAACTCGTGGGTTGTATCTAAGTGTTGATTGACTGCGAGTTCATCAGAAGCGTCCAGCACCGGGAATAGCGGGTTTGACCTTACATCGTCACGAAGCGCTTCCACAGGAACAGGTCCTTGCTGCTTTAGGGAAACATGAGGACTCATACCCATGTTTCCTATATCATCGCAGTATACTGGACTCAGCGTGATCCCGATATCCAATTTCATGCCGTTGAAGCGTTCTTGCTCGGGTACGAATAAAGGAACAATAGGTCCCTCGCTAGAGGAAAGTTCATCATCTGCTCTAGCTGAAGCCGTACCAGATGTCGTATTAACCGGTGCTTCCACTACTGTCATTTCACCTTCACTAGGCGAAACCACTTGTGTGTTTTCTGATCTCTGTACAAGTTGCCATTCATTCGTGGCTAAATCTGTATTTGTGTCAGTTACATTTCCGAACTTTCGGCCTTCCGACCTTGATTCCAGGGGACCAATCTGCCGCTCTACCACCATCGATGGCTCATCTTGATATTTTGAAGGCAATTTGCTCGCCTGGGCAAGGTCGGGTAGGACATCAAGTGGTGCAGATGTTGATAAAAGTTCTGTTGGTTGACCTGTTGAGATCATCGTGTGCGTATTCACGGGCGCAGTGGACGTTACATATATTTCCTCTATAGGCACCACGTCTGGAAGTTGAGCTTCCAGTCTTGATTTCAATGATCCTGAGGACTCTCCTTCTAATTCAAATATTGACATTTCTTTCTCAATCGAACTCTTTTGTTTGATGGGATCACTCTCTAGAGACGTAATTACCGCCAACTCAGGAGAGCGTGTTGAGGACTGGGATTCATCTTCATGTTCCAAGTAGTCAGAAGTTTCCTCGAGTGTCATGAACTGCTTCTCTCTTGGGGGAGTCTCACTTTCAGTTATTTTCCCAGACGCTTCCTCTGATACGGGCGATGTCGGCCAAACAATGACATCTGGGAGATGAGTTTTCAGGCAAGCTTCTAAGAGAACAGGGGGCTCTGCTGCAGAAGCAGATGACGCGATTTCTTTCGTGGAGTTCGCCAATTGCAATGATTCGTCAATTTCGTTTGCTGAGAGTGAGGGCTCTTCGGCGCTCAACGGGATTTCAGGTGCTCTGTAAGTGTCTACGAATGATGCCTCAGGCTCTGCGCTCTTATGCGAAAGTAAATTGAAGCTCAGGTCTTCAGTTGGCGTCATGATTTGCTGTTCTCTGAACGATTTCGTTTTCTGAACATATAGAGGTCTACCGGGAGCACCCAGCGTGGTTATAGTTGGTTCAACCGGTCCTTCAGGTAATTTTGTATTCAGCCGACGTGCGACTTCTCCTTCTTCTACTGAAGTGCGCACCGTGTCGGGTGCTAGTCCTGAACTAGCTACCTCATGTTCCTCGGGTAATTCCAATGCCACTGAATCCAATTCTTTTATAGATCCCGGCAGTGCCTCCCCAACCGTTGTCGTAGGCAATTCTTTGATGTCTCTTGTCTCTACGGAGTTAGGTTTCGATCTTTCCGCAGATGCATATGCACCCTCTGTGAAATCGTATGACAGTGTCGTTGGCTCTAGTTCGTCGAGTGTGCTCAGACTGGGCCGTTCAGACTCTGTAACATCGGCACGTCTGAGCCATGGAGGTGTAACACGCGGTCCAGATAGGATTCGGCCGAGAGAGTCTACGTGCCCCGCAGCGAACTCCTGTTGTTCAGCTTCTGCAGACCTTTTCGTTGTGCTTCCTGTAATCAGATTGACCTCAGGTGCGAAGAGCATAACGTCGCGTTCAGAACTGACCTGAAAAGTTGACTCTCCTCGGGCATTTTTTTCATTTTTAGTCTTAGGAATATCCCCTCCAGGAGGAGGCTCGAATTCCGCCTTCAAGCTAGCGGTGGTCGATATTGTCATTGGTGTCCCGCAGATTGACAGGAATTCCCTCGAAGTCAGAGACGTGTCCTGGGCAGTGCTGTCTCCCGTGATAATATCTGGGATCGGTAGCTTGCCCAAAGTTGCTGTTGCCATGGGAGGAGCTTCTGCTATCAGCTTGTCAGGGGTCAACTTTAAACTGACAGGTTGGATTTTTTTCATATCCCCTTCGTTCGTCTCAGATTGGCCCAATGTTCCGGTCGCAATGGCGGATATTTCAGGTTCTTTTTTTCCAGGGAATTCCGTTTCTGATGATCTTGCCTCTGGTATTGTCTCAAGAAAATAAGTCGCGGCTCCTTGTTCGGTAATTACGGCTTCAGGCTGCCATGTGTACTGACCTAGTGTTTTCATGCTCGCGGCTGGGACTCCCGTCGACGAAGGACGCTCAGAAAGATAGTCACCTCGTTTTGTTTGTACCACATTTGTCGCGCCTTCTCCTTCAAATAGTTCCGTTGTCTTCGGTACCGTGTCGACCTGCGACATATCGTGAAATGGCGTTGCTTTCGTGTCGGAATCGTATAGGACCTCGACGGATGCCAGCTCGCCAACGTTTCTGGGTACCGTCATCTCACCAAACGTCTCGTGAGCAGCTTTTTCACGAGCTGCGCCGCTGGACGCCGGACCATTCTCCGCTGTTGGAAGTGTTACCGCAGTTATCGCGACAAGGGCGTGAGTTTCAGGAGCCTGAGGTTCTGGAAGGAACATTTCGAATGATCGTCCGCTCCCCACATCTCCCGGTTCTGGCCTTTCAATCCATCCTATGCGCGTATGCGAATCAGTCGTTAACTGTTCACTTGCCTTGTCTAGCTGCGATTCCGACGCAGCATCTTCTAGTGGATGGGACTCCAATTCTCTGGGCGCAAGCCCGATTGAGCCGCATTCGGCCTCCGCCCTCAGAGCACCTCTCACGACCTGAGGCGGTCCTAGGTGATCGAGTCGGAATAAAGTACCGTCGTCAGGCTGAGAGAGAGCTGTCATTTTTGCCTCTTCCGAAGCCACTTTGCTTCTTTCCTGGGAAGGTACTTCGGCAGAAACTGTGACGAGTGGCCATTCTGCAGAATTGTCTGTTTCTCGGGTTTTGTCCAAGTGACTCACTGACGGTTGTTCCAACGTTACGGGAACATCGTCTGTGGGTCCCGGAAAAAATTCATCATCTTTTGTTCCGCTAACACTGACTGACCGTAAGGGCGACAGTTCTGAGGGAGGGCGATCTGAGGGTCCCTTGCAGGTCTCAAAGTCGCTCGAAGCAGTCTCGGACCCATTTATCTCCCCGAACGCGTCCGGCCCTGCGTTGGTGCCGCCACTTTTGGTGGACCATTTCGCAGCGCGTTTAGCTGGCTCTCGCGGCTCGGACGGAACGAAGTCCACGGAGGTCTCGACAGAGTGTTTCTGATTAACCGGTTCGACCTTTTCGGCAAAGCCGAACTGCTCCCGAAATAGCGTAGGAACGGACGTCTGTTTCGTCGCGTTTTCGGACTGAGAGCGAAAAATGACCGGGGCCCCTCTGAATTCCTCCGTTTCTTTTGGTTCGGTAGACAAGCTAGCTTCTTTGCTGAAAGACTTCGGTTGCTCCTTGGCCATTCTGTTCATCGACAAATCTGAGAAACTCTGCGCCAAAGCACCGTGTGATTGAAGAGCCTTGAGTGATTCGTCATCTTCCGGAATATCAGGCATCTTGAACGAAGAATTGCTCAGGTTCGGCTCTATCACAATTTCGGTGTAGGAACGAGTTTCCGTCAACACCTTTGTCTCTGAGATGTGCTTCTTGGTCACCTTCTCCCTCGGGTAATAGTAGACTTCCTCAGTCTCCGACGTTACGATAGAGTTCTCTATGTTCTTTATTTCCTTCACCGACCTGTTGACAGAGGACTCGGAGACTATGTTTCGCTCTTTGACTGTGGAGTTCTTCCGAGCGTCGTGGATTATCGGAAATTCGGTTGACTCGCTCGTCGTGACGGGTTGGGAAGGGCCGGCTTGATCCTGATCGCTTTTGATGACACCGTCGACTCTGACAACACTGTTGTCTGTGGCAACATCGTCCTGCGTGGCGTTACCGGAGCCGTCCTGTGTGGTCTCTGTGGTTTGCGAAGGCGGCAGCACAGCTTGTGCCATATCTTGGGCCACATTCAAATCCAAACCTTCTTCATCGCCACCATCTGTTGCGATTGAGGTCTCTGCTATGATAGGTATCACGGTCGGAGCCTGGAAGACCGGATGGTGTGTCGCGCCTGCCTTGTCGTCTCCGGCCGTATTACTGGCTAAAAAACTGTCCTGTTCTTTACCTTCGTCTTCGTCCTCCACGTCTTCGTCACTCAAGTCCTCGTGCTCCTTGAGCATGCGCAGTTTTGTCACCGCGATCGAGTCTTTCCGGTTGAGCTTGAAGCGAAGAGGTGGGGGCGATGCTTCCCCTTCTTCCTCCTCCACTCCCGTGTTGGGCATCTGCGGCGTCGAAACTTCGAAAATCTTCACCTCATCCGAATCCTGGAACTCAATCCTTCGCCTCTCGTCGGGCTCCGCTGGAAGCGACGACATGGCGTTCGGATCGTCGAGAGGCTTGAGGCTGGACTGCTGCTCGTCGCCCTGCTGGTCGTCAAGAGAGAAGGAAGGGCTCTCACGTTCTTCCTCTACCATCGTGTCGTCATAGACTCGAATGGCCACGGGCTGCTTGATCCTTTTAGGCTTGTCCGAAGCGACTGAAATCGACGGCGAGGTGGCAACGGAGCCGTCCTTCATGACCAGAGCGGAACGCGGTATGCTCTCGGTGCTTTTGGCCGTGGTCTCCGGGGTAGGTTCCTGCTCGTTGAAGGCAGCCGACCTCTGGAGCACGCTGATGTTGGAATCGTAGGATTCAATCGACTCCTCTTCTCGCTTACTCTGAACCTCTTCCTTTGTAGTGGACTCCAGGTGAGTGTCCTTGTGCTCCAGACCCGTCGAAGTATCGGTGACAACCTTGGAGCTTTCTTTCTTTTCGATAACTGTCTTTGTGACGGTTTCTAACACCAGCGTTTTTTTAATTATTTTGATAGGTAGTTGTGACGAAAACTTTTTTTCTGAACCCGGCGCCTGGAAAGGTGGGGCCGGAACGTTTTGAGGGCCGCTTGCCAGGCTGGGACCGGCCGGCGCTGTTCGAGCGGTTTCCATATGCTGCCCCTGGTCATCGGTTATCACCGAAGTCGGTGTTGTGTCTGCAATTGTGTTGTTTGTCGAAGACCTGCCCATCGATTGCGCCGTCAGAAACACCATTCTGAAGGCCTCTGTGTCCGTCACGGAGGATTGGTCTTTGAGTGGCACAGCCGTTGTGCTCATCACTTCGCGTTGTTGGGCGATGTACATATGCTCCGGGAAGCTGCTCGACTCTATCTCGATATTCGTATTAACATGTTTCGAGCTAAGTAGGCTGGGTTCGGACACCGTCTTTCGATCAGAGTTTTCTTTTCCTGTTTTAAACGAGCCATCGGAGTCAGCACATTTTTCATCACCGAACGTTTGTACTTCGGAAGGCTCTGAGCTGAGGGTTGGCCGGGCCATCTGGATCTTCATTCGGGTTTTATCAGGCCCGGTAATAACAAATGTCGTGCGAGTAGCGTTGGTGTCAGGCAGCATGTGCCCGTTGACCGTAACACCTGTCTTAGTGTGAACCATGTCATGCGACGACTTGGGAGTGTCCTCGTAAGTTATTCCCGGCTTCGGCGTGTTTATTGTTGTAGGAAGCGGGTTTACTTTAGCCATGAACACTTCCTTTGAAAACTGGGGCAGTATATGTTCTGATTCCCTGTGCGAGTTGTCCCGGTTAATTGAGCTGAAAATCTCCTCGGACTTGCTTCCAAACGTTGGAACGGAGGAATTAGTGTATGCCAGTGTGCTCAAGTTTCTCTGTAAGGACACTTCCGCCCTGTTTAGTGCGAGAACCCGCTTCATGATTTGTTCAGCCCTCTTCTGGTTCGACTCATTCTGCGAGGCGTTTTGTAGAATCGCTCGCTTAAAGTTGAGTTCTGATAGCTTTTTGCTGATATTTTCCATCTTTCGCGTCGCCTCTGCTTTTGGAGTGGCGTTGATGGCGTTCTCGTTTTCCTCGCTCACGGTGCTGAGGTCCAGAACGTCCTTGATGTCAGCCATCTTCTGCACGAGGCTCGGTGCGTGGCTTCTGCTCTTGCTTCTTTTCGTAGAAGCACAGAAGCACGCAGCGTTTGTGAGACTTTCAAGGCCCTTCACCACCGACTTCTCACTGATAAGTTCGACGGAGTGGCACACTCCTTCCGCGTAGATTCGGGTGCGCTGAAGCACGGGAGGCTTCGAGGCCGCCCTCCTCTGGGAGCGAGTGCGCTTTCGCTTTGAAGCGTGCTCTCTAACTGGCGGGGTATCTGAGTCGGAAGATTCCTTCATGCTGCTTTCATCCTCCTCTTCGTCACCCATCTGAGACGGTGTTTTCTTTGAAGGTACCGATTTCTTATTTTCCTGGGGTGCACCGTCTGGTTTCGGTTTCGCAGAACTTTCCTCTGTCACTTCTGAGAGTATCGAGAAAGGGGTAACGTTGTCATCAACCAGTTCTACAGAATATGTCGGGGTGGAGGCGAAGATGCGTGTCTTATGCAACACGTACTGTTGGCTGCGTTCACCTAAACCTTTCTCGCTCGTTGACTTGAGAGGTTTGGTTTTTTCGCCCAACATTACAGAAGAAAGGATGTCTACGTCGGAAACAAACGAAGCAGCTGGAACAGTGCTTTTCGACTTACCGGTTTCCGAAGCCGCGCTGGGACATTCTTTGCTTTCAATTTTATTGACAGACCTTGGTCTCTCGAACTCATTCGAAGTCGTGGGTTCCACTGTGTCTTTCAACACACTGCCGTCACTGCGCGCCTCCATAAGAAGCGTCAAAAGGGGTCTTTCAGAACATTTGTCTGATTTTTCATCGAGCAGGCCCGATACCTGTCCGGAAACATTGTCAGTCGCAGAGCTAGTTGATAAGGCAAACTGGGCGCTGTGCTCCTCATGGGTCGCGGGTTGCAGGCTGCTTGTCGCGGACAGGGTGCTTGTGGTAGTGAAAGGCACCTGGGACCAGTCTGTTACACAGTCACTACCAACGCCCTCGGAAACGGCCGGCATGTATCCGGTTGTCATGCTTTCTCCTGAGACTGAGCGTAGCTCGCCGGCTGGAGGAGTCAAACCGTTGGTACCGATGGTCGGTATTGTTGACGATGCCGATGGAACCTCTGCATCGGAGCTGAACACGGAACTGCTTTTTCCGCCGGCAAGCTGATGCGTGGTCCACTCCGGGTTAGCTTGAGGCATAATAAAATCAGTCTCTTTCGGTACGATGGCTTTCTTTGGATCACTAGACTCTTGTTCTATCTCCTCATACCCTTTCCCGTCGGTTGTTTTTGGCTCGACACTTTTTGTCAATTCTTGATCTTCACCGAGCTCAACTTGCGTGTTCTCGATTACGGGTTTCTTGATGTCCGTTGGAGATACTTTTTCATGAAGTTTCTTGCTGACTTTCTCCTCGGCAGCCCCAGCCTCGATGGGGCTCAATTCGCCAGGCGTGGATTTCTCGTTTGCAACTGACCCCTCCTCACTTCCGCTTTGTTCTTCCAGCTCGTCTTCTTGCGGCTTGTCAGGTGACTCCTCCGTCATCTTCGGAGCTTCTGTTTCCGTAGGAGTCTCCGAGGACAGAATTTGCCTCTTTTCTTCCGGTCTCTCACCGAAGTTCAAAATGGCTTCAGATAGGGACTCGCCAGGCTCCAGCGGAGAACCCTTAAGGTTTTCTCGAAGCAGCTCTATCTCAGCGTTGGAAACATCAACGTCAGGCTCCGCTGTCGCAGTCTCAAGACCCGTCTGCAGTTTTTCTGGTTTGGCGAGCGAGACATCAATGCTGGCGGGCCTCTCGTTTGATTCACTGAAGAACCTGTTCGTTTCAAGGAGGGATACGCTTTTGCTCGCCTGTATGTTGCTAAATTCGCTGAAGGTTTCGCTTTTTCCCGCCGAATCTGGCGCGGTTTCGGCTCTGGAATCGCAAACAAAAGGGTCGTCGCTCAGGAATTCGGTATTGAGGGTCATCGCTGTTTCATCCTTTGACGACTGAACTTCCTGTGCTGTTTCCACCGGTGTCGACGTTTGCTGGAATTGGACCCCCGCCTCTTCAAAAATTCCAGCGAAGTCAGAATCCGGTTTCTTTTGTCTGAGCTCCTGTAGAAGCGCGGCCGAAATCTGTGTGGGCGCCTTTGCGGTCATCTCACTCGCTTCGCCGAACGCGTCGACGATGTCTTGAAGCGGACTGTCACGGTCCCCTTTCAGTTCGCCGGAATTACTTAATTCCTGGCTTCCCTCGAACGACGACGCAAGGAACACTGATGAGTCCGACACCTTGTTCTCAACTGCCGTGTTCTCCTCGGGAGCACTAAGCATATCCGCTCCTGCTTTTGCTTCAGAAGCTCTGGAATCGCAAACAAAAGGGTCGTCGCTCAGGAATTCGGTATTGAGGGTCATTGCTGTTTCATCCTTCGGCGACCGAACTTCCTGTACTGTTTCCACCGGTGTCGACGTCTGCTGGAATTGGACGACCGCCTCTTCAAACATTCCAGCGAAGTCAAAATCCGGTTTCTTTTGTGTGAGCTCCTGTAGAAGCGCCGCCGAAATCTGTGTGGGCGCCTTTGCCGTCATCTCAATCGATTCACCGAACGCGTCGACGTTGTCTTCAAGCGGACTGTCACGGTCCCCTTTCGGTTCGCCGGAATCACTTAATTCCTCGCTTCTTTCAAACGACGATGCCAGGAACACTGATGAGTCTGACACTTTGTTCTCAACTGCCGTGTTCTCCTCGGGAGCACTAAGGATATCCGCTTCTGCTTTTGCTTCAGAAACTACACGGTACGGCTTCTCATCAAGTTTGGTACCTGTACCTAGGGCCGCCGTCTTTTTGACAACGTCTTCAGAAAAAGCAGTGAGAAAAGGTTCTTCAGCCGGTCTCTTGTCGGGTTCATGTTGCTCTGTGACCTGTCTATTTTCCTCGTCGGGGTCCGTCGAGTGAGGGGACACAACCTCGAGTTCGTTTGATGGAGTTCCACTGTCACTTCTACTAAAGGATCCCGACACCGTTTCTGCACCTTCCGCGAGCTTCTCAAACTGTGGAGTCGTGCCTGGTGTCGGAGACAAGGGTGTCTCCACCGTTTTCGCAACTGATTCACTAGTTGGCACTGTATCCCTGGCGCCTGAGTCAGATTCTGGTGGAAATGCTGTGACAGCGCCATCGGTGGTCACTAGGGGTAATGGGAACCATTCTACGCGCACTGATGTTTTTGTGTCTGTACCGGTTGGAGTGCTAGGTGTGACCATACCCGGTGACAAGTTCGGAGACGGCTTGTCGGGTGTAAGTACCAATGAAGAATCCCACTGCTGCCCATCCTGCTTTACTTTGTCTGTAGAGCTTTGGTTGCTAGGTGAGTCTACATACGCTGGCGTTCCTGGGAATGAATTGTCGGGTGTAAATGTTATTGGCGGCTTCCAGTCTCGAGACTTTAGTTTTACCGTGTGTACTGTATATGCGGCACTTTGCGTACTAGATGGGGTTATACCCGGTGATATTCCCGGGAGCGCGTTGTCGGGTGCAAGTTCCGTTGCAGACGGTGCTCCCATCTTGCTTTGTTCAAACATATCCGCTTCTTTCGTCAGGTTCGGAATGTCTCTTTCTACTACTCTTCCTGAGATTACATTTAAGGCAGAACCCGTCGCTGGTTGGTCATCCGCGTCTGTAGTACTTTCCGGAACACTACGTTCTTTCATTTCTTCGTCACTCATGGTTTCGGCGTGTTCAAACTCCATAGAGTTGCTTCTGGGCATGGAACCTTCCCTCATGAAGGGTACCGTTACTGGAGCGTCTCCTTCTAGTGACTGTGATTTATCTTTTGTGGACTTCTCCTCGCTAAGAGACTTCGCTATCGAGCCCGTCTGGTATTCGGACATCTCGGCGCTGTCCCATGAAAAAGCTGGAAAAGATTTCTCGGAAGCTGAAGGGATGGCCGTATTCCCAAAACCAGAGTTGCCATTTTTCAGAGGAGCTTGGCATCTGTCTGCTCCAAAATGCCTCCAGGGAGCCTGGCCGGTAAGGTCTTGCTCCTCAGCAGCAAGGCTGTACATGGAAGAAGTACGGCTAATGTCTTTCGCCTGATACGATTCAGCAACCGAGTCTGATCTCTCTGAGAAAGCACCCATTTCCCCGACAGATACCGTTGACGGTCGGGTCGAAACCGGCGACGGCGCAGAAACTACATCAGCCGAATCGGGTGACGCGTCTTGCACTGCACGCATCTGGTCTGCCGAGGCCACCTCACCAAACGAGTACTGCGAAGATGCATAGCTTGTGCTGAGAGCTCGTTCACTTTTGGTCTCGCGAGTCGAGTGCTCCTCGACGGACTTCCGACTTCCGACAGTCTTTTGCTGTTGCGCGGTGTTTTCTTGTTGCTTCGCGCTGGACTGGGGAACCACAAACCTTTGGTCTTCCGCTGTCTTACCCGCGGCAGGAACCACGTTTGTGCCTCCCGACTTGATCGCTGAACTCGCCGTGTTTCCGGTGTCCGTCTTGGACCACGGGGACAGTTCATTTAACGCGCGATGTCGAGACGACCTGGACTTGCGAATAATATGAACGGTGCGAACCTCCTCGGTTCTGGTTTGGGAAACTTTATGTTCTTGGGTCTTTTCCTCTACGAAGGAACCCGAGCTGTCGCCGGTCATGGGGGTCGATATGAAGGAGGACGCGTTGTGACTGGGTCTACCGAGAGGAGCCGTGTTCGTCGGCAAAGGTCTGAAGAAAGTGGCGCTGTTCGCGCGAAAGAAGTTGGCACTTCGTTCGTCCCCTTGACTAGCGCCCAGGGTGTCCGCGCTGGCCGTCGTCTTCGCCTGGTCCTTGAGGACCAGAGTGGCACCCGTTTGAAAGAGCGGGTTGTCTGTCAGGGACCGGTCGGAGGTTGCGTACGTGGCGCTCGCAGGATCGGCCGATACTGACACTCCGCTGGCGGATACGGAGCAAAGCTCGTCATCTTCAGCGGCCACTGAAACCTGTTAGGAAGGAATCAAGCAGACTGCAGGCGCATACCCAGTGTCCTTGGTTAAGGGGAAAAACGGTGACCCACTCTAATTGTTGTTATTGAAGCCCACACGTTCAGCAGATTGAAGGCACTCGTGGCCATGAACCAAATTGGTTAAGATTAACTAAATTGCTGTAGTAGCGTTTTTTTAATAAGTGAGTTTCTTTTACATGGTTAACACTACCATTGCGGTGTCAACTAATGTTTTTGCCTCTTGTACCGCACAAGAGTCACTGACCGCTTGAGAAACGCGTGGCCTTTCACGATCAGGTTTCCTGATTCAAGATTTGTTCTTTGGTGCTCTTATTGGCCGAAACCACATTAGCTGCGGAGCAATGACATGTCTGGTGGAACTCGAGACGCCTGGCTTTTCCCAACCTTTTAGGGCTATAGAGGTTATGTTTTGACTTCGAGAGCAGTGACTATTAATGTCAACTGAGGAAATTATTGTGTGTCCGTTCGCAGAGTTAAGACCGCGCTTGAGAGAAGCAGGCATGCGAATTTTTTTTTTTCTTTTTCAGTCAACCAGGTTACCGCGATGTTTGTTTGGTGCCTGGAGCGCGTCTCCGACCGGCGGGTTCAGAGTCCTCCTGTCTCGCCCATCCATCGAAAGTGGTCCAGAAGTGCCACCAAATGACGTCACACAAGCCGGAGTGTCCTACCGTTGGATGTCGCGACCCTGGCCCCGGGTCGTAAAAATGCTGGCGTGAATCACGTGCGAACGCAAGTGTCACTACCGTCGTGGCCTACTAACTTCTGGCTGCCGAAGATTCTGTGAAGTGTCGCAGTGGAGAGAGACCTGCAGCGGAACAGGCGTCTGCCATGTCCACCAACGCTGCTGGGTTACCACCAGGATCGCAACCGTCGACAGCATGACAATTCTATAACGTCATCAAGCGGAAATTGAAGGACCACTTCTTTTTTTTTTTGGATGCGGTAAAAACACCAACCGGAGACGCGGCCCAGGCACCATATTGTTAGTGTCGACACCGGGCATCACTGTTGCTCGCGCTTGCCACTGATAGTCGCTTATTCTGTGGCTTGCTGCCATCTTATTGTTTTAAAGGGATCTCTAAAAGGAACGACTAAACGTGGCCTAAATTTTGCCTATAGACCCACTAAGTAGAAAAAAGATTCTTGAGCGTTCCTATGAATCCGAGTTAAGTATGCGAGCGCGCAGCGTCTTCAACAGCGCAATCGTCGCGGCATGACGCCAGAAGCACTTGTTAGTCTACTAGAAAGTACTAGACGAAGGGAGTATTTGTAGGTGCCTGGATGCGTCTTTGACTAATGCGTTTGGCGCGTCCTGATTGGCGTTCCTTCAATTTCTGACTGGTGACGTAAAAGCTAGGTTAATGCTGCGTGTTCGTTGCGATACTTGCTGTGGTGCAGCGTAGTAGGTGGAGAGGACAAACGTGTGTTCTGCTTTAGCTCCCTCTAGAGGCTGTCAGTGAACCAAAACTTCAGTGTCCATGCGACGGGACGCCGCGTCGACAGCGGCGTTGGCGCCCGCACACCTTCGTCGCTGGCCATGATTGCGACATTGCGTGGCAGAAACCAGTTGTTATGGCGCATATCGCTACCTTTAATGCCTTTTTGCGAGCGGAAGCGGAAGGGGGTATACGCTGTTGAACGCTTCCAGAGTAGGGACGTAAAATTTCCCGAAATTTTGATGGGCGTAAAAAAAACGTCTTTTTTTTTTTTTCAAATTTTTGTTTTTAAAAAAATACGAAAAATTGAAAAAAAAGAAGATTGCACACATAGCTATGAAAAACCCGATACATTTATTTTGTTTACATTGAAAATAATTTAATTGTTAGGTTACTGCACCACGAAATTCCCAGGCTTCAACAGAGCTTCTGGTTTTTAAATCTAGGTATGATTTCACGTTAAGGCATTGATTTCACATCAAAGCGTCAAGACTGACATTTCTTTCAGTCCGTGTCCAATAATTCCGATTCATTTCCGCTTGACGCGTCAATGCTTCGCTGTGCAGCGGACAAAGCCTTAAGGACATTAAGGTTGGAGTGCACGTAGACAAGTTTTAGCGCGCGGTTTCCCGCGAGCCTGTTGCATAGCTTTGTGTGCACATTTTCAAACTCGGACCAGTGTCTTTCACATGCCGTAGATGAAGGGGGAATGTGCAGTACGCGATAATTGAGGAGACTGAAGGGTTGGTTGAAGCAAAGTCCTCGCCACCACGTGGATGGATCCAGGTGCTTTGCAGACTCCCAAACTCCCTTCTTTTGACCAAATTCCCTCGGAGGATCTGCATTCTGCGACGTTAGACAAAAGTTTCCCGACGTATTCTGCGACGTTAGACAAAAGTTTCCCGACGTCCAGCGAGAGGTGAACGTCGACGCCACCGGAGCGCGGCAGCGTTTCAAGTTTTTGAACTCTGTTTTTTTGTTTTTTAAATTTTACTTTGGTTAAAAAAAAGTTTTTTTTTTCCCCGAAATTTTTAATGTTTTTTTTTTCAACCGCTTTCATCTATATTCCAGAGCCGTTTGTACCGAGAGAGTTTAGCTGATGGACGGAGATGCTGACTTGCTAGGCGGCCCTCCCCCTTTATCGTCTAGAAATGCTGTACGGGCGGCCTTAACGTGCATAGAGTACGGCTTCGTTGCCTGGAACGGAGCTTCGACTGGTGTGTTAACCGTCCTATCCTGCACACATGCATCGAAAGTAGTCCAGAAGTGGCAACAAAGGAGGTCACGGGAGCCGGTGAGTCATATGATGCAGAGCCGCTTATACTGAGAGAGTTTGGCCAATGGGCGGAGCTTGTTGCCAGCTGGAACCAGCGGATTTTGCAATAACACAAAATGGCGCTACTTCCTTGTTTTTATTCCTGCGAAATCGCAAAGAGTTCCTATGAGTCGAAGCCCCAATATGGCGGACGGAAGTAGTCATTCCCCGGTTACCAGACTACGCTGTTGTGGTTGCCATACCATCAAAATCTCCTTAAACGGCCAAACTCTCTCAGTATAAACGGTTCTGACATGCTGCAGGATTCCGTAATTCTGGCGGTTGGTGGTGGAAACGGCGGTGAAAAAGACGATCGGACGCAAGGGTACTTGTCGTCTCGGTGTCCCAACTCGAGTCTGCTTTGGTTTTCGCCGACTGTCTGAGAGCAGAGCGATCTGCAGCAGAACAGGCGTCTGCTGCATGCACGTCCGCTGATGTTCCACCACCAGGATCGCGGTAGGCAACAAGATGACACTTTTGTGACGTCATCAGGCGGAAATCAAGGGTTCACATTTGTGGACGGGATAAACGCACGAGTCAGAGACGCGCACCAGGCACCATGTAGTACGGCTAAAACTGAAGCCTGCTTGCCGGAACGCAGGTAACGATACGCCAGCCGCGTTTCCTTCGGAATGGAAGGCTGTAATGGACTCCGGAGAGAGCGGACTTACGTTCGATTTTCGTTCGAGCGGTGTGTACTGACGAGTCATTTTCTTGTCCGAGTGGGCCTTGTTTCCAATTTCGTTGGAAATCCAGGAACTGGAAGTGTGTTTTGGTGTTAGTGCCTAATCGCGCGAGATGTTTTTACACAGACACATTGAGCGAGAGGGGTAAGAGAGGTCCCATTTGGACAAAACCGAAGGCAAGACAAACCAATTTTTTTTACGCGACAAAAAAAAAAAGAAAAAAAAAGAACGAACAAGCAAACAAGTTAGCTTCTAAGCAATCAGACTAATCGTCACCGGCACAGCCTCTTTAAACCTTTCAACAAACACAACACTGCGCACTCCATGGAAACGCCAAATCGATCATGTTTAGCAGACATGTACACGTTACCCCAAGAGAGTAACTACATACCGTTACTCGTTACTCGCTGAAAATAACTAACACGTTACTCGTTACAGATTTTCAAAAGGAACGCGTGAGTTACCTCAAAAGTAACAAGTTACTTTGACGACCGAATACACAACTGTTTTTGTTTCATGGTTTATTGTTTTCTTTCTAGTAGCCGTTGCACTTAAGCAGTAGCTGCCTCTCAAAGTTTTCATCACTTATGTTTCCGCACTTCCTTGAGGTTACTCCTCAAAAGTAACGAGATACCGTTACTCGTTACTCGGCCTTAAAAGTAACTAAATACGTTACTCGTTCCTTTCCTAAAAAAAGTAACTAAATATGTCACTCGTTACCGAAAAAAGTAACTAGGTAGAAGTAACTCGTTACCTGTAACGCGTTACGTACATGTCTGGTGTTTTGTGTCTGCCATTGAGCAGTATAGCTTACCAAAAGCGGCCCACTGGCAACACCAGCCTTCTTCTGTGCGCGAGAAGCTTTGCTTTCGATTAGCATAGGCGGACGAGTCTAGGTAGACTATAGTCACTGACAAGAAGAGCAGGGCATGGTTTGTTATACTCACGCTTCTCGCTTCATGATTGGGTCTTCGGCATCCTTGTTGGCTAATGTCGCAATCTCACTGGCTCTGGAGCGATAATGAGAGGCTGAAGACTCGCCACACCCTGCGCTTCTTGAAAGCTGTGAGTGACTCTATAGGGCGAACTGGCCGCCACAGCTGTGTACACCGCTGTTGAGCGCGTGCTAATTGCGAGCCTCCGCCAAATTTCTTTCACACCGTCGAAGCTGTTCTTTTCAGCAAATACCAAGTTAATAAGGCATTAAGAAAAAAGAATGCGCGTGTACAATTGTAAGTCTGTTTCAAAAAGAATTGGGTTGTGTGTATGTTTATACAGCCTTGAACTTGGTCTGCCTCAACGGGCGACGAATCTCCCAGCTGTAGATGAGAAACTTAGCCAGTGCAGTACAACCGCAAGCCTGGGGTCTTTAACGTATATCACGCAGTAGCGAGACACGACCGCACGCCGGTACGATGCTCATCCAGATCGAAACGGACAGGGGTGGGGATCTGGTTCACACATCTCCGTTTTCTTACGTTTTCATAGCGTGCGCGACCAAAGTGTCGCTGTGATCAGCCATCCATGATTGGTCAAACGCTCCCTCTTACGTCTTGAGTAGGATCGTTTCTGTTCTCATCGGCGGGTATAAGACCAATGTCGGACTCTCAACTCCGACGGTGTTAATTTAAGAACGTGACGACTATAGGCTTTCAGCGCGCCTTCTACGTACCGTCAAACTTGTCGCTGGCTACTAATCACCCCGGTCGTGACGTCAGAGATAAGAACCATAAGAGGGAGACCGAAACATCTCGTCGAACTCCGACCGTGCCGTCCCCCACCCCCCCCTTTGTATACGGCTACATCTACTAGGTGCGACATCTCGTTGTTAGTAAACGTGTGGGTAGTGGTCCGACACCCTGTGTCCTGTCAGCCGAAAACCGCATTTCACAAACGAACGGCAATCGAGCAAGTGCTGTCGTGCCGTTCAAATAAATGAAAAACTAAAAAAAAATAAAATCAATAAGGGGACGCGGCGACGCACCCCTATTGATGTCACCCTGTTAATGCCGGTACTGCCTATGCGCCGTGAAACAAGAGAGAGAGAGAGGGAGGAGAGGAGACGAGAGCGCGCCGGGATCTGTAAACGCCGAGCTCTGATTGGTTGGATTAGATTAGGTTAGGTTAGTTTAGGTTAGGTTAGTGCAGTTAAGGGCTCCCGTGCCCTTGACTGCACTGACATAGAAAGAAGAACTGTCACGGTCTGTCGAAGTTGCAGTGTGACAAAGTGCGCGATCAAAAGCGTCGTTGCGGTCAGTTATCCACGATTGGCCAAACCACAAGCAAGAGAGCTTTGTCAGACTGTCAACTTCGACGATGTTAGTTTCGGAATGCGATGGGATCCCCAGCTCCCAATGTGCATTTTAAACACAGCATCGAACTTGTCGTCGCAACTGGTGGCGAGCAGCCAGGGTAACAACTCGTGGCGTCACGGCGAGGCAAATCTCGGTCCTGACGTTGCGGATGGAGACCATAAGAGTGGCACCACCGAAACATCTCGGCGCTAATAAGCAAAACGCTCACTAAGACGTCTCTATTTTGATTAATTTTGATTTCATCGACCGAGATAAGAACAATGCCAAACTAAGCTTTGACAGTGTTGGTTTAAGAATGCGATGATTCCACGCTTCCATCGTGTTTTTTTTTACACACTCATCATCAACTTCGTAGTTCGAAACTTATGATAAGTAGTCGTGATTACAACTTGTGATGCCGCGGCGAGGCGAATCCTGGTCGTTACGTCATGAACGGAAACCATAAAAGAACGGCACAAAAACCTGTCGTCACTAATAGGTGGTAATCACTAATGTAATTTCGTCAATCACTTCGGGCCCGCTGCACGTTTCAAGATACCTGACAACCCCCTAGCGGCGTTTTCTTTCTACAAGGAATCTCTGGAGTATACGCTTTCAACATACCGCCGGCGTCAGATTTTCCTAACAGGAGTGCTGCTCAGAATGCTTTCCACTACCCGACAAAGATGACAGCAACATAAAAGGCATTATTGGTATGGTCTACTTTTCCTCAAAGAAAGCAGACTCACGTGATGGCGTCAATGACGATCTTTTTTACGGTGACCATCTCCGGAAGTCCAGGGTAGTCCAGGCACTGGTTCAGCTCGCTCAGGTTCATCTGGTCGAAACGCACGGCCGACATGACCTTCTCAGAGTTGGCAAGGCGCTGTTCGGGTGCGTAATTCAGCCAGCTCATGCCGGCTTCGAAGACTTCGGCCTCACTGCGGAGATGGCGCGAAAGGGTCACGAAAACCGACGTCTACCTGTTGATGGAACGCAGCTGAGAGGAGCACCAATAAGTTCAAATTAGCATGCCCAATTAACCCACAGAAAATATTTCAAATAAACATTTCCTCTACTTTACTCTCAATTTTTGCTTGCAGAATGACTTAAATTTAATTTCCAATAACATAAATTTTATGGGTTCAGGGGGTGATAATATTAAGACCCATTCTACGAACCAACGATGTATTGAATTGTAATGTCTGTCAATGAAGTCTTCTGGCCGTCAACATAATACCGAAAACGAACGCATCGCCTAATTGGGATCAGCACACGACTCCCACTGGGCATTATCTTGATTTGTTTTCGTGTTCTTGGATTGATCTCCATCTCACGAACCTTAGATTACCCCCTTCACGTTGAAGCAGCGTAACTCTAGGACCGTCTACGTTCTAAGTGACACGCTCAGTTCAGAACATCACCGATGTTCCTTCGGTGTCCTTTCGCAGTATGACACCTGCCTTGTGGACCTTGCGTGTTTGTGAGAAGTGTCTGTTGTATTTTGTTTAGTTCCTTTAGAGAGACAAAGCCGTACGAGACGCAGAGCGCGAATGGTGGTGCCTTAGACCATACCAATGGCACCCGATGGTGTCGGCGCTCATCAGAAGGACAATGTCGTCTACGTCCATCTCCAGAAACTCCTTGGTGGCGACCACGGACATGAAGTGGGCCGTAAGGAAGTTGTACGCCCGGCGCTCTTCCTCGGTCAGGTTCAGACGCCGTGCCGCAGAGTACATCAGAATTTGCTGACCAATGGGAGTCGTCTCGGTCTCCACCTGGACAGCCAAGTGACCCCGTAAGAGAACCATTTTCAATCACTTTTTTGCTAGTGCTGGAGAGAAACAAACAGGCCAGAGGTATAACAAGACATACAAAGGTCATCACCTTCAACGTTACCTTTTTATCAACTGTTCTTGTTATATGGTCTTCACCACCCACCTTCGCTTTCTATAAAGGATATAAGTTCGTCGCATCATCATTGCATGAGGCGCCACGAACGTTCATGGTATGGTGTGTTATCCTTTCTACGGTGCCACGGCTCTTCCCAGTATTCTTCATAATCATTATTGTTATCGTCACCATTATAATGATTGCCATCATTATTGTTACAGTTTTTATTATTATCATCGTCAGCATATAGTCATAACTATTTCTGCACGATGACGTGTCCCGACTCAGTCTTTAGTAATAACCCTTGTTCAAAAGCATTTTTCTGTGGTCAGATGGTAGCGATCAGGATGAAGAAATGCTTCTTACAGCGTGTCGTAACAAGTCCTATAAAAGTGTTCGTTAGCTGTTCGTCTAGCGCAGGGGTTTCCAAACGTTCTGGCTATCTGGGGACAACTTTTCTTGGCAATGAAGCGAAAGCTTGGGTACCCGTGCTCGCGCGCACGTTGAGCGTCGATCACAGCTGTGCTAACGCGGTTTTCAGTTCTTTGGAAATGCCGGAGAAAGCTGTCCCTGAGATTATGAGTCCCGACTGGGGACTTGTTGAAGTATATTTATTTATTTATTTATTTATTTATTTTACCCTCAGGGCACAAAGGCATTAGAGAGGGGAGTGGGGAACACAAGGAACAATGAACAAAATCTCAAACAACTCAAACAATAGGGAACATGAGGTTGGTAATAGAATTACAAAAAAGAGCGTGGTCAGTCATTGATGTGAGAGATGCAGGTAAGCGGTTCCAATCGTTAGAAGTTCTTGGAATAAAAGAAGCGTAATAAACGTTAGAGTGACAAAATGGTACACCAACTTTTTGACGATGATCAAGGCGTGCTGAAATAAAGTATGGGGGGATTATCATTTGGGCTTTTAGGTAAGGAACATGGTGATAGATTTTATGAAAAAGGGAGATTCGGAAAACCATGCGACGATGTGCGAGGGTCGGAAGTAATAATGTGCTTTTTATTGACGTTACGCTTGCTGTGCGGTTATAGTTGGCCAGTATAAAACGTGTAGCTCTGTTCTGAACTCCTTCAAGTGAGTTGATGAGGTAGATGGTTGAGGGATCTCAGATGGAAGCTGCATATTCGAGCTTAGGCCTAACTAGTGTTTTATAAAGAGTCAGTTTTAATGACGATGGACCTAAAGGAAAGTTAGAGGGTCGGAAATTAGATAAGACAATTTAAACGCGGAAATACTAAACATTAGGGTCATAGTCGACATTTAAATACAAAAATTAAAACCAAAGCAAAAAAAAAAAAGTAAAGTGGATAAATAAATATTTTTTTAAATTTTAAGTGCAATTTTTACTATTTATGGCAGTACAAAATAATTGTGACCCCGAGAATTCACCACACATCAATCGAAGCCCATAGGAACTTTGGCATGTTCACGCAGGGCAGAATACTAATGAAAATGGTAGATTAGGTCAGATCACTACGCACATTATTCACGAAAACGCAATTATTTTTGCATCGTTACACAGACATGAAGGCGGGAACTATGTATTGTAATTCTGGTAATGTAAATATAATTCCGAGATAACCTCCGTTTTGATGCAGTTTTCTATGCATGTGCGAATAGTGGATTTTGAGTTTCGTAGCGAATTCGAAGCGAATAATAGTTCTGACCGAATATTTTTGAATCAAATATCGAATAGTTTCTTCAATATTTCAGTCTTTTCACTACAGCAGATGCCTAAACGAAAACCCATCTGAACACGTAAAGGTTGTTCTGAAGCATCCAATTGTCCATATAAAAGCTAGATTTTATCTAATTACATGGGAATGGGAATGGAAAGTAAACGATGTATTTGACATAACGTTATGCGACAGCGCATTTGGCATATTTAATTCATATAATTGAGTCCATTGCATACATGAGAATGGCAAGTAAACAATGAATCTTATATAAATTAAAACCTATAGACATGCCCAGCTATACCTAATTTATGGGATTTATAAATCTTCTTGCTATATGCAAATAGTCTTTATTAGCTCTAGAATTTGAGAAAACAGAAGACAATCATGAATGATGAACGTAGATTGTTGGACAAATCTGCCAGACACATCTTTCATAATAGCCACAGTTTAATTTTGAAAATTTTAGTGTAGTGTAGATTTCAACATTCAAAAAGTTCCCCTTTCTTTTTACACACGACACGCGCGCATGCATCATCCCATTTTAAAAGGGGTCTTTCCTCTTAAGAACTCGGTTGAAATATTTGTACTTTTCGAAGTGCAGATCGCGGCGGGTTAGCCCCATTGAGTGCGCTTCTTGCCGAGCACTTGTGCACTGCGGATAAGCAACACCCGCGGAAGCGAGCTCCGTGGGTGTTGCTTCTCCGCAGTGCAGGGTGCTTGACAAAAAGCGCGCTCAGCGGGGCTAACCCGCCGCGGCCAACCATTAAAAAAATATGAATATCAGAGTTCATCCCGAAGCAAATATCGAATAGCGTGTTATTTGACACTACTATTCGAAAATTCGAATATTCGCACAACACTACAGTTTTCTCTAATTCTTTCTGATATCTTCGGTTGTGCTTTTGTGCAATATTTTTTATGTTTTTTTTTTTGCGTTGGTATAGCGGACCCCAGGCCGGTCATCACTGGAAAGACTGCTGCCACCCGCGAGCCGAGTTTTGGAGGCCCCTTGTCTGGCGATATGAGGTACTTAGAAACTAGTAATGTAGCGTTGAGAGAAACCTTCATCAAAACTACACCCGATGCTGTCAATGGAGATGGCGCAACACACCAACCTGAATGCATTTTTTGACGACGTCGGACATGTGCAGCCTGAACGCAGCGTTGAACACGTCCGCTACGATCTCGGGGCTCATGTCCAGCTTGCCGGTCGTCATGTAATTGTAGAGCACGGCAAACGTTGCGGCTGACACGCCCGACAATTTGAGCTGCGAGAACCAGGAACGACCACCATAGAGATAACGACGCTGTTGCAAACTTGGTTTCCGAAGCTACTAAGAAAAAATCGCTTGGCTTGGACATTTTGTTAACTGCAACGAAGGTGCGAGAGCACTAAAACGCAGTTCCTACCCAGCCGCGCAGCTCACGTTTTCACGCCAAGGAAAAGGAGGGGAGGGGTGCAGTGCTAGCACACCACAAACCCCTTTCCTCCAGCTCTCTCTCTCCTACGCTCTCTCTCCCTCTCTCACACACACATTCACACTAACACGCACACACACACACAAACACACTTTCGCGGAAATTTCGCGCGGCGCACGCCATTGGTCGCGCGGCGTGACGTCAAATATAGAGCTGCGTTTCTTTAGTGACTGTCCCATGACATTGATATGGTGAGATCAACACCAACACGAAGAAGCAAGGTCCTTGGAGTGTTCCCGTATAAAGTGACGGCTTCAAAAAAAAAAAAAAAAGAAAAATAAATAACAGCGAAGCGTAGTCCTGCGTCCCGATGTGATCTCCACTTTGGCCAAATGGAATATATACAAAACTAACCCCAAAGAAAGTGAGGCTGGGGAAGCACTTGACAGAAACATCGCGGTAGCCTCAAAACGGCAGCCGCTGTATCTCCAAGAGACTTAAGCCTGGTTCAGACAGTTGCGTTTAACTGCGTTGCGACTGCGAGAAACCAGGACATCCCTGCTGCTTATATTGCGTGCCAAGATGATTCCTTGAATTGGATTCCACGCTTCATACGAAGCACAGATGTGCCGGTGACCCGCTTTCGGTTCTCGACGCAACGCAGTCAAATGCACTCAAACGCAAGTGTCTGAACCGGCCGTCAGTCATTGCAGGTCAGCTGGTAGAAATAACTTAAAAGGAACCTTCCGGAAGCCGAAGAGTGGAAGCTGACGGATCGACAAAGGACCTACCCAAGCAGCACGGATTTTGGTCAAGCAATGGCCAATGTCTGGCGATGGTCTTTCGGCCAGTGGCCGAGAGGGGCCATTCATTGGCCAATGCTTGGTCGATGGCTGATGGCCAGTGGCCATTGGCCAATGGCCAGACAAAGGCCAGTCACCGGCCAGTCTCTGGCCACTGTCTGGCCACTTGGCCAAGGACCATTGCCAGCCGTTAGCCAATGATTGGCCAACTCTGTGCTGATTGGGTACCTACAATCACCCACAACCCGAGAAACAAAGAGCGTGAAGTCTTTAGTAAGTTATTGCCCCTCAGCCAATGTACTGCGGTGTTGGCCGATGACAACGCCTTAAAAATAAATCATGAAGCAAATTTCTTGCTCTGTTAAGAAGTTTTCTTAAGTTGTCAACGATCATAGTTTTTTTTTTTTCCACAAAGCTAAGTTTTTTGGTGAGGTGTCAGCTTGCATTCTGTGACTTCGAGGAGCCTTCTTTCCAAGTTGAATAGACTCACTCATGTTTGTGACGTCACGGCTAAGTGTTGGTGCTGCTTCCATCCTCAAGAAACGCGTTTTCGAGCTTGTGCGGTGCCCCATTGCTTCTGTAGGTAAAATCTTTTTTTCTTTTTGTGGTACAAAAACTATACATTAACACGCGGCTCTCACATGAGGCCAGCTTCGGTGGCGCTACTATTGGCAGGACGTATGCGCGAAAGCTTCACTTCACAGGAATCTGGTCGTACGCCCCAGGACCACACCTGGCGTGGGCTCGCTTGTTAACATCGCGTCGGCCTATGTGGAGAGCAAGTCGTCTGCTTTTTGCGCAGGAGTTGCGGTGACGTCAGAAAGACGCCGAGCTGTGATTGGCAATGATTAAAGGATAGAGGGTAGACCTCAAAGCAATCTGCTTTGAGGTCTATTTACTATTCTTCATTCCCAACCAATCAGAGCTGGGCATCTTTATAACGTCACCAAAACTCCTGCAAAATAATAATAAAAAAAGATGAATTTGCGTTTTGCATTGTGGTCAGGAACATGAGAACGGCAGGGCGACATTTTCGGATGCCCCGCCTGCAGCACGCGCTCACTGCCCTCTTGCCGATGGTTGGGTGCGCGTGCACGCCCGAAGCCCACCAGACGCCGAACTGCTATCGAATCGGTACGAAGCTCGCACAGGAGGCAGGTCAACTGAAACGCCTCCCTCCAGTTCTTATCCCGCCAGAGACCATAGATGCTCCGTGGAGACCAATCTAGACGCAGGCCTTCGTAATATGCACAAACGATTGTCCTTTTTTCTTTTTTTTTTCCGTTGTTGGTGCACTTTGAAGATTGGTCCAATTTGGAGGTTGGAAAATGTCACCTTGTTCTTGTGGCAGTTCTCCGGCTTTTCGAGCGTCTTCCTGAAGAACGGGCTGCACTCGATGAGCAGCTGTCGCTCGATGTGGAACGCGTGTCCGTCCACGACCACGTCCACGTGCGAGCGGGGCGCAATGCGGTGCATAGCCCCGCGCTCGTGCTGCAGCACGGAGGAGGCCATCCTGCCCGCCCCCCGGGGCCTCGCCCGTCGCTGCACGGAGGCAAGAAATGCGCAACAACACTGAATAACGCGTACCCGGTTATCCTTCGGAAATTCCACCCAAAAGACAAGGTCCGCGCATTTTTTACGTCACGAGTGCACTCCCGGCGCGCTTCAAGCGGCGAACAACGCGCTGAAACTCAACGAGACTAAACGGCAAGTAAGTGCGTCTGCTAGTCGGTAGACACGAAGGCTATACCTCGTCATGGCGGTCGTCGCCTTTGTGCCTTTGTCATCACCGATTAAACGAATCACGCATACAGAATACCCCATGATACTGCGCTTTTTTATGCACGATAGCAAACGCATAAAGAGAACGAGTGCTGTGACGATGCACTTTTGGTGCTGCATGATTGGCTCGTTCGGATTGAAAGTTTTGGCTTCACTAGGGCTCATAGAGTAACTCAACTCACTGACGTCACGACACTGCGGTGGCACTGCTGTCGGGACTGCGCCTGCGCAGATACTTCACTCCTTCCGAATTTGGTTTCTGCGCACGCACAGTGCCTACAGCTGGTGTGGGCAAAACGGATTTGTCTGTAAACACTGTGCTGGCGTATAGCAACCTATGTCTTTCTCTACCCACTGTACACCTCCAGCTAGAGCGAGCAAGATTGACTTTAGAGGTGTCAGGGCCGGGGTGTTCGGGCGTCGAATGCTTCCGTCATCTTCTGTTAGTCCTAGCAATGGCTAACTTTTCCTACGGCTTTTGGAAATCCACCGGTTATTTACGAAGAAGGATTTAGCCTTTAAGAAAGAAGGAAGGAAATACCTCGAAAGGCGCGCCGTTTTTTGGTGACTACCAACTACCAGACACGTAACAGCAAAACGAGGGACCAATGACCGCTGTCAACGCTCATTCACCAGGAAAGGTCTCGGCTATGACCGCCTTGGGAATCCCGTATTTAATTCCACAGAAAGGCTAGATTTGTTTTTGCTCTTTTGAAGCAGAGAATTGTAGCGGTACATAAGTGACGGCGGGTGACTGGGGTCAAAATAAATAATAATACCCATTAGCTCGCTTAAGCGTATACGTGAATGTATCATAGTGAAAAGTCGGAGAGCTTTTGAAGGAAAGGAGGTATGAAATAGTCCGCTATATTACAAAATTCTGGTAGCGAAAAGTGGGCGTTTGACTTTCTACCCTTTGTTTTGGCCCTCTGAACGATATGCGATGAGTAAAATGGGCATTGTAATAGCTTGCTCATACGATGACAGTCGGAAGCCTTCAAAGCGCGAGAAGCACGAGACTCAAGGCTGGTTCACACACGTGCGTTTGACTACGAACGACTGCGCCACAACCGGTTTTCGAGCCTCTCCGGTCGCAAGCAGTTGCAAGTGCGTGTGTACCAGCCCTAAGGCCCGTTCACACACTTGCAACCGAGTAGGACGGACGCAGACTAGACCGGTTTTTAAGCATCTTGCCGCGTCTTAGGACCAGCTCCGCAGCAGCGCATCCGGTCCTAAGACATCGCAAGAGGCGTGAAAACCGGTTTTGTCTCTTTCAGTTGTACTCGTTTGTAATTGTGTGAACGGCGCTTTAGAGGCGCCATGAAATGATTTTGCAACTTCTTCACTCTCCTCAAGTCAAAAGCGAAATGAGAATTCACGCCGTCGTGGCGTGCTTGCACCAGGGAGAACTTTGCTAGATTACCACGGTTATGGAATTCTCGCTAAAAAGGGTACCCCCCCCCCCCCCCCCCTTTCCCTTCGGCTCGCTTCTCTTCGTTTGAAGCGTCATCCAGATTTTCGTTTGAAAACTGCGTGTTCCATAGAGTACGGTGAAGCGCCATATATAGACGCTTTACACACGCGCCAAATTACAGCCGCCATTGCTGACCTTCTCTTGTCTTACCGAGATGCCGAGCAACTGAAACGGTAGTTGACGATCCTCTACAAAGGCCGATGCTTTAGAAAAGGACACAGTTGAATCTAATATGTCAATAACCTGGCCTGCTATGGTAATGATGAAGTGAAACAAACGGAATAAGAAGGAACAAAAACTGAAGGTCAGTTATGGCGGCGTCCATGCACAGCTGCTGCAAAGTGTCTATAGACGGCTGCGCTTCCAAACATACGTGTTCCATATAATAAATAAAATACACTGCAGTTACCATACTAACCTTTAGTAGTCGTCCGGCGCGTCGGACGACGGGAGGCGAGCCGTGTGTGTGTGTGTGTGGGGGGGGGGGGGGGGGGGGGAGGCAGGGTAAGGTCTACTGCTCGTGCAAGCAGCGTCTATGAGCAGTTCCGTAACTGAGCTAATCTATTATCGTTGACCGAGGCGATGACTTAAGACCGGTTCAGACACTTGCATTTGACTGCGTTTGACAGCGTTGCGTCGAGAACCGAAAGCGAGTCACCGGCACATCTGTGCTTCGCATGAAGCGTGGAATCCAATTCAAGGAATCATCTTGGCACGCGATATAAGCAGCAGAGATGTCCTGGTTTTTCGCTGCCGCAACGTAGTCAGGCGCAGCCAAACGCAACTGTCCGAACCAGGCTTTAAGGTTGGTTCACAATCTGCGTTGGCTGCGTTCGCATGCAACCGAAACGACTGTACCGACAAAGTCAGCGGGACAAGTGTTCGTCGTACACAGCATGGCAAGCGATGCAAGAGGTAGCTTCGCGAAGCCATCCATGAGTCGCGGTTTTTACGGTGTTTTGGTCGTTGCGGTCGTTTCGGTTGCCTGCGAACGCAACCGTTGCAAATGTGTGAACCAGCCTTAAGCTTCCACCGTGCTTTCTAAGCGCACCATGGAACTTGTCATTCGCAAGTTATGTTAAGTGCCGTCACGACATTCATTAGCCACGAACGCGAATCCAAATATTAACGTAATAGCGTTAAAGAGAAAAGCCGGCGTCGGTGGCTTGACGAGAAAATCGCGGACGTGAAAATCCTGATTGGTCGATCGGGTCATGACGTCATGCAGTCACATGACATAGCGCAAGATTTTCAACCAGCACACAACGCCCAGGTGATATGTGACGTCAAGCGCGAAATGAAAGTGATGAAAAGACATGGCATATCATGCGAATTTAAAAGTCGCCGCATGTCTCAAATGTTTTCACTTTAATTGTATGCGGGATTTCCAACCACGACCCTTCCGTTGCGAGCCAGACACGCTACTGTGGTCACGCTGGGCTGGGGTCACGGTGGCTGGGGTGGAGGCTGACCCTTTTCATCTGCCACTAACGTGGGAATGTGACGGTGTCCGAAGAAATACAGTCTACCATCCGGGTCTTTTCCCTGTTTTCTCCAACGCAGCAAGAAGGAAAGTGCGTGGCAGCCTTTTCCAACTTCTCTCTCATTCCAATATTTCCAAGTCCTCAGCCCAGCCTGCGATCTTCTCAGTCCAGCACGCGCATGTTAGTCACTTCTGAAAACGAGTAAATCCCGCGCGATACTCACAAACACTGAAAAAGGGAACCGACCAGGAACCCCCTTTTTTTTTTTTTCGGGAAAAGCCTATTGGCGACGTGAGCGATCGTCAGCAAAGAATATCTCATCGACGCAAATAAGAGGAATGTAAGAACTTCAATTTTGACGGTGTTGGCAGTGTTGTTTTGAGAGCGCTATGATTTCAGGCTTTCACCATGCCCATTAGAAACACCATCGAACTTGTTGTTCCCAAGGTAATGACGTCACGAAAGGTAACCGAACGAGAGCGCCACCGAAACATCTCGCCGCTAATAAAACAACCTCTTGCAAAAACAATTTTTTTTTTATAGTGTTTCTGTTTAACAAGTTTGAGCATCAAACACCGCAAGACATGCACTTCTACAACTACATACAGGTTGGAAATTAACATAGCGGTATTGGCGACATGCGCAACCGAAAGCGTCGCTGTGGTCGGCCTTCCACGATTGGCCCAAAAGCTGACTATGACGTCGGAAAGGGTATAGCCTCGACGGAAATAAGAGGAATGAAAGAACTTTAATTTCGACGCTGTTGGCAGTGTTGCTTTGAGAGCGCAATGATTTCAGGCTTCCACCATGCTATTTACAAACACCATCGAACTTGTTGTTCGCAAGGTAATGACGCCACAAGGGGGAACCATAGGAGGGCGCCACCAAAACATCTCGCCGCTAATATAAGTTAAAAAGTTCCCAGCTCGGGTTAATTTTTTTTTTAATGTCGCGCAGCTTCACTTTTACTTATAGCGCTCCCAGTCAGCGGCACACCTGTAAGGGTTGAGGGGTTCTTCCCCCGCTCCTCTGGCGTCGACGGCCACCGACACATTTTGCCTAATCCCTCGGTAACGACGGCCCCACCATGATGACCCTAGAAAATTGCTCGGTACTACCGACGCTACCGTTCCTCTCAAAGCAGCCGACTTTCACGATTCCCGCCACTCGTCCTGCCGCTCAATGGCGATGGGACACGGTTTCAGCAACGGAGAAGCAGGGGTGTGCCGCTGCATCGTTCCACCGCAGACTTGGCGAACGGCGAACTGCGGTGGCGATCGGCAGTGCTCCCTCGTTCCTTAGGTAGTGTCGGTCGTGATAAAAGTGATGCCTCTTCTGGTTAAAATGTCTCTCGAGCGCCTTTCTACAGTGCAGGAAGGAATATTTCGAAGACGCAAGAAACTCCTTTATGTCAAAGTGTTTATATATATTTAAAAAAACTCCTATGCCTTCGCAGCTGAAGTAATACTCTGAGTGTTTGAGTGTTTTTTTAATCTTACTGAGCTGGAGAATGTTTATCCAGAGCTGAAAATTTACATTCCGGTGTTTATCACACAAAAACGCATAAAAAATGTACTCTTAATTTTTTGGCGATATTGTGGCAGGATATCAAAGGGAATGATTAATCAAATAATTAATATATTAAAGGGTGGCGATTAATCGAGTTAAAACATTAAATAGACGCCCTTGTCGTCACGCTTCTTGTTTCGATCCTCGGCGTTGTTGTCTTAATAAGCTGCATTCTCAATGGTTGTAGAGGGAAAATAACGTGG